TGTATATACATAAATATATTTAAGTTCAATTAATGGAACAAACTTCTTCAAATAGGACAATCAATACTGTCCTTGGCTTGCCAACTCCCAAAGTATTTCCCACCATTGTTGTGTACCATTGAATCAGAACTGACCCATAGCTGGCCCTGCAGCCAGTTTTCAGAGGCAGGAAACTGCGCCAGAGTTGATTGGCCATCTCTTTTCCACAGAGCAGTTGATAGATTCAAACTGCATACCTTTGCATTAGCAGTGCAATTCCTTACCACTAAACCACCAGCTCCCTTTTCCTTTAATAGAATTGGACTTTTAGAAAGTTATAGATCATTTAAAAAAATCCTTTCACAGCATGTAATAGCAATTTCTAACTATATCTCCTGTAAAGAAGATTACAAAGAGCATATGAAATGAAGGTGTAGCAAACAGTGGTGAATTGGTGGATTGTAATACAGTCTCTATATTCATTCACCTAACTCACTTCGAGTACAGATTATTATCAGTAGAAGCAGATGATACCTTATGAATTTATAAGAAAGAATTAACATCCTAAAAATTTGCACATTATTCTGGGCTTGGAACATTAAAGTGATCTGTCAATACTTTAAATCTGTCAGGGACTTAGTTAAAAAATACATTGGTTTCAAGTCAGAATCAACTTATAGCTGAACACTGAATGGGTTTCCAGACACTAAATTGCACAAGAGCTGCCAATTTTTCCCCCACAGAGCCTCTGGTGGATTTGAACTGCCTGCCTTTGAGTTGGCAGTGCAACTTCTAACCACTAGGTCAGCTGAATTTGTCAAAGATAGCACCTATATTAGAAGCTTTCAGTTTGGCTCGCTCCCACAGCATCATTCTCCAACAAATCTAGTTGGCTAAATTGTTGTTGATTGCCTTCAAGTTGAGCATGACTCATAGCAACCGTATGAACAAAAAGGCCTGAAGCCACTCCTCGACTATCGACATTTATAAAAGTTCATAGAATTTCTGGAGGCTTGTTATTTAGGAAGTGGATGCCACTCCTGCTTCCAAACCTGTCATAGTATGGTATTGTTTTATGTGCCATTGAATCGCCTGCGATGTACAGCAGCTCTGAACTCTTCCCCATCCTGGGCCAGTCTGACTGACTCTGACACACCAAACCCCATTGCCCCAGCTACTGTATCAGTCCATCTCATCTGGAGTCTTCCTCTCCTGCTCTGTCTGTCCACTGTTCCGAGCATGATGTCCTTCTCCAAGGACCAATCTCACCAGGCCACGTGCCCAAAGTAAGTGAGGTGGAGGTTTAAAATCCTAGCCTCCAAGGAGAGACTTGGTTTCATCCTCCCCACGACAGACCTGTTTGTTTTCTTGGCAGTCCATGGTATGTTCAAGACTCTTCTCCAGCACCATTACTTAGGAAAAAAAATCTGTTCACGAAAACTTGGCCTTTGGATGTTATCTTGCATTTTAAATCCCATGGTTTTGCACAAATTGGAAAAACCCTGAAAAATTATATGGGAAGGAGAACTAAACATATTCTGTTTTCATTAAATGTTAAAATATGGTCAGCTGGCCATATGATATCTTTATAAAGCAGCATATAGTTTTTTAAAAAAATAACTTATGTTGTGATTTAAATTATTAGGAGCCATCTGTGATTTTTAACAGGGTATTCAAAGGCACAACATATTTTAAGACTGAAACACAGTTCAGATTTCAGCAGTTATGCACACAAACACACAAATGTCCTTAGTTTTAAGTTATATGATGATAAACGATACCTGTTGAAAAAAATAAACGTGGAAAAGAGAAATAATTCTAATACAAATGTGACTCAACTGCAGGCATTCATTTATTCCAATCCAACTGACCTGGTAAACGTGGCTGGGTTACTGGGGAATAAGTGGGCAGCGTTTAAGGGGGAGCGGAGATCTTTACAAAAACAGAAGGCTCCTCAAAGCCTACAATTATGTCAGTTAATATGGGTCCTTGGAGCTCATTATTGTTTCAAGCAGAGGTCCTCACACTTTCACGTTGTTATAAAACATTATTTTGTGCTGCTGGCCTGGACCGCAAATGTCGTACATCTGCAGGCAATTAGAAGAAGGTCTGGATTGCATGTTTGATTAGGTCAATAATAAACGGGCACAAATGTGACTCGACTTATATTAGTCAGATTCCCTAGACAGATTATCCTGTTGTTATCAGATGAAATAACCCCCTTTTATCAGCAATTAAGTAAATCCACATTTATGGGCACTTTGCACAATTGTGAGGTGGGAAGAAATCCAGCTAAAGCCTAAATCATCCAAAAAATGTTTAACTCTGCTTTGTTTCAATGGCACAGACCCTAATCCCAGATTTTAGAAAGTGATTGGGTTACAAAGAAGGGTTTGGGACTTGGAAATATTTCGTGTGCTTGCAAACCACAAGTATATAATTAGCATCTACCACAAGCAGAGACATTTAAGAGCTTTATCTCACTGGTGAAAACAATGCTCCGCAAAGTAAGAATTAAAAATGCTTTAATACGTGGAAAAGAACTCATCTGTAAGTAGACGAAAGCCTTTCTGGAAAAATGCAATTAAGTAGGCTTCAAGTTTCACTTGAATATATTTACAGTCCAGTTTCTACTGTAATCAGTCCTGTGTTTTATTCTAGAACTTCTTCACCCAATTCCTGGGACTGATCTCAGATTCAACCACCATTATCAAACTATCCTAGAACATGACCCATCATTGATTTATATTTTGCCCAAGTACCATTAAAACATCTGATATTTGAAGTCCAAAAATTAGTGTTTGAGAAACACATCTGCAAAATATAGTTTCAGGCAAAATAGCACCAAGCCTTTCAATTACTTATATGAGATATATATATATATATATGAATAACAGAACTCAAAGATGTATTTTAAATAAACACCTGGATTTCTGAGTCACTACTTATCTCTATTTATAACCTCATCAGTTTAGCCCCTTGACATAATCCTTAAATGAAGGATCAGAGTATCAAGAAGTTTCTGAAGCATTCATCATCAGTATTGGAACTCTGACTCATGACAGTAATATAAAACAGATGCTAACATGATGTACTCTCCGAAAAGTGACACCATCAGGCACTGCCTTGCCCTTGATGTGGGGCTGCTTAGGACTTGAACACAAAATGTGAAATAATAAAAAGCAGGGCACAGTAGGTCCTCCGGCTTCATTTAAGGAGCCATTTAAAATCTACTTATTTCTTACCCAAAAGGCAGGGCAACTCGGGTGAATGGGGAGAGCACCCCAGGTGGCTGCAGCTCGCCTTAATGCTGCAATCAGGGAACCCAGCTGAACCCCTTGGTGTGGAGGGAGGAAGGCGCCCTCTTCCTGGCTCATGATTGATTGCTGTTGTTAGCCACTTGTAGATGTCCACTCCGTGTTCCCCCCATGTGAGAGTACAACTACGCCGTAAAGTTTTCTTGGCTGTAATCTTTATGGATACGATTAGGTGGCGTAGGGGCAAGGAGATGCGCTGCCAACCTTAAGGCAGGTGGTTCAAATCCATTAATTGCTCTGCAGGAGGAAGATGGACAGTCTCTTCCCATGTCATTTACAGCCTCTGAAAACTCACTGCAGGATCAACTAGGAGTCAGTTCAGATGCGATGGTACATAACAAGTACTTTTTATGCAAGGTGACTATTATAAATTCTCTTGATGAGCAGTTGCTAGGTTTGAACTGCCAACCTTTCTGTTAGTAGCCACACATTTTAACCAAGAGGTGGGGCTCCTAGATTTTTCCATCAGTCAACCTGTAATTAAAAACTCACTGTCCTCCAACTGGAACCAACTCATAGCTGACCCTCCAGTGGGTTTCCCAAGGCTGTAAGTAGCACAGAAGAAAATTGCCCACCTTTCTCCCAATGAGATGGAGTCTTTCATTTGAGGTCTCCCCAGTCAGTTTCTGACAGTTTAGAGCATGTCTGAGGCTCCAGTGGCCCCATTTCTGGAACACGGTGTGCACTAGCCAGCTCCTGGAAGGGTCTGCTTCTAAGAAAATGAGAACCCAGTCCCTCAGCACAGTGCAGTTAGCCAACATCCTACAAGCCTTCAAAGCCCAGGATTCTTACCACTTTGCTAGCACGAGTCTACAGCTATTGCTAGAATATACAGCAGTGAGTACCCTTCGTGAAAAGTGCCACAATGCAAGTGACAGGAGGGACATGGGGTCACATGAGAGCTTTAAGGTGAGGAGCAATATGAGAGAAGTAAGGCACCCCCAAAAGGCTAGGAGAGGCAGGAACCCCATGTCTGTGGCAGGTTCATCAAAGCTTGTGAAACCAGAGGGTCATTTATGGGGTAGCTTGATCATCTCAACACAACTCATTGCCACTAAGTCAGAACCTATTCAGAGCCGACCCTCCAATGGGTTTTCGGAGGCTGTAAGTCGCAAGAGAAGTGACTGCCAATCTTTCTACAGGTGTAGGTGGTAGACTCGAACCATTTGCCTTAGGGTTGACAGCAAGACTCCTTACCACTAGAACACCAGATCTCTCCAGTATACTTCCATATTCCAAACCGATGAGCCTGGTAGTTTCTTCTGATAACTGGCCTTTGGCCCCCACCAGAGTGGAGGCCGGTTCCCCCCTTACCACTTGTAGAACCTCAGTTCTTAGCGTGACAACATTCTTTATCGAGAAATAGTAATGATGCTCAGGGCACAGCTTCAGATCTGTCATTTAACTGTGCTGTAGTTTGACATGGACATTCAGGAGTCTCAAGGTTCCCCAAGTGCCTCTAATTTTGTGCAGATTGTGTAGATTGACAGCTACCAGAGAACTCCTGCTGAGTGCCTTCATTTGCAAAACGACAACAAGCAACCAGTACCTTTTGGGATGACTGAGATGGTTAAAGGCCACCTTGCAGACCAAGACCCAGCCCGTGGCGCCCACGTGGGAAGACCAGGGCGCACGCGCGCTGTGACCACTGGCCTTAAGCACACGCGCGCAGGGGCTGGCGGTCAGTATTCCGAGTGCACTTACCTTGGCAGACATTGTGCTCGCTCTGCTCGTAGCCTGTGGCGCACTGGATGCGGTGAGACGGGTTGGAGGGAATTCGCTGAGGGTCAGCCGGGTTCCTCCGGATGACGAAGTTGTTCCGGCCAGTCTGCACATCAGGGCCTATGACTGCTGCAGCGCTAGCGACAAAACCACCTCCGGGCACCACCGCGCTGGTGGCCATGCTTGTGGCGGACGCTGCTCCTCCTCCTCCGGTGGCTGGGCCCGGGACAGCGGCTGCATTTGTCCCCGTGTTGGCACCTTCTGGGCTGGCTGGTATTTCTTGCTGAGGTTGTTCATTGTTGACAATGATCTGAGCTGTTTTCGGCAGACAGAGGTACCCGCCGTAATGGTTGACGCATTTCATTCCCCCTTTGCAAGCATCTGGGACGATGTCACATTCGTCGATATCTGGGATCAGCAATAAGATAAGTCAGGCCTCTTCGTAGAAGGAAAAGGGCATGAAAATATACACGCTTGCCTTTGGGGTTCAATGCAGAGGTGATAGGGAGACAATCTTGCGGGACGGGGAGTGAAAGCGGTGCACAGGGGAAGATGGCTCACCTTTGCACTGCTGTCTCACAGGGTCCCACTCATAGCCGTCTGTGCATTGCTGTGAAGAGAACACCAAAGGTGGGATCAGGGAAGAGTTAACTGGGGATTCCTTTCTCTAGAAAGTGAGTTTAAGAAGCTGAATTTTTATGGCACCACTCTGTGAACTTGAGCCTTTACATATATGCCAATGCAGGCCGTTTAACACCATCTGGCTATGTCTTCAAGGAATGTTCTCTGTCTGTGCACTGGACAGTGTCAAGGGTCCCTTGTCAGTTGTTTGTTACTCTCAAGACAGAACCGATTCTTAGCTGCTCTTTCAGTGGGTTTTCCGAGACCGTAAATCACATGGGAGGGGAGATTGCCCATTTTTCTCCCTTGGAGTAGTGGGTGGGTTCCAACTGCCTTCACGCCGGCAGCATGACTCCATACACATTAGATCACCAGGGCTCTATAGTCATTGGATGCTGTCAAGTTGAAACTGACTCTGGCGAGTTTTCAGAGCCTATATATTGCACAGGGGGAGATTGCCTATCTTCTTCCTGTGAAGCAGCTAATGGATTTGAACTGTGTGCCTTTAGGATTGCAGCACAGCTTCTTACCACTAGGCCACCAGAACTTTCCTAAGTGCTCCTGCTGTGTTTGGTGCATTTTCTTGAAATTCATTTTTCTCTGTCTAGATTCTAATTTTCTCTGACATGATTGCTCCTTTTTCATTTGACCCATTCTCTCATAAGGTTTTTCTAGATAGATATGGGAATTCTAGGAAGAGGAACGGCAGTGAGTGCAGGCATAACTTTGCTGAAGAGGGACAGAGTTGCAAGTAGTTCAAATGTGGTGGGGTCGGTGCAAGGTGAGAGAGGTGCGGCAGGGCCAAATCTGGACAGTCTTTCTTTAGAAAAAAGAACTGGATTTTCTCCTAAACAACAGTGATCCCCAAACATCATTATGCTTTAAGAATCACCCGGGGTTCTTGTTTAATCGAGATCTCTGGGCCCACCTAAAGATTCTATTTTGCAGATGGGTAGAGGGCCTGGGAATCTAACATCTTAAAAATACTACCTCCCCTCCTCCACTAAAAAAAAAGCAGCCTATATGATTCTGATACACATGGTCTGTGTGCAACCTCTGGAGAAAAATTACTGTAGCTATTCAGTTCCACTGAAGAAATTTTAAGCTTGGGAAAAGACCAGCAAATCCCCACATTGATCAGATATGCATATGAGAACGTCACTGTACGGAAGAAGGGCTGAGTGAAAATATAATAAACAAGTGAACAAATTCGTTGGCATTCTTTCTCTGGAGCCCAGAACCTCTCATGTACACCACCGATGTGTGGCCAGGAAAGCACTCAATGGAGACTCTGGGGCCATTTACATATTTTTGTAATATCTGATGCTTCATGTCGTGAAAACTGAACTTGTTTTCTTTCCCAAGCTAGTTCTTTTTTCCCCAACACTGTCTTACACAAGACCATCTTTCTCAGGATGGAGAATTTGGGTTTGAACATTAGCATTGACTTTTCCCCAATTATTTGTCTTCCAAGTCTTGCTGACTTTGAGGGGTCACTTCCACATTTGCCACATTAGTGTTAGCCTTCCTGGCCTCAGCAGTGGATAAAGATCTCTTTGCTGGTCTTCATATCTCTCCATTCTGTGCACAGCTCATCCTTTGCTTGTGTTTGTCAGTTTTCTATGTAAGAACTCACTGAAGCCTGCAGATCTTTTGTGTCCTATCATTATTATAGGTTCCTCCCACACCTAGGACCACTCAACCGCACCTTCTTTCTTACCTCCTAGACTTTATCTTGGTTGTCGCCACCTTACTCTTTGAATATGCTCCTCCCTTGGACTTAGGTACGCCCTCAGCCTCTTTAGGTCACTTTCAAGGTTGTCATTTCCTTTATGAACCGGTGTAGCATTCCAGCTCTTCCAATCTGTCAGCACTGACATTGCTCACTTCCCGGCCTCTCTGCTTCTTTGGCTAACCTGTATACTCTGCACACTCTTCTTTGTATTTGCTGAGAAGCACTGTAGTTTTTTTGACAATGCCTTTCCAAGATCAATTCCCTGAGGTCAAGAGCCAGATTTTCTCAGTGAACAGATAAGCTTGAACTCTTTTGATAATGCCAACAGTTGTTTAAGTACACGTGATACTGGTGAGAAAATCGCTGAATGTGAATCTTTTTAATGTGAATGGGGAATACAGGGCTGTCTTGTGGTTGTAAACCATCCTTCTGAAAAGTAGCTTTCAGAACAGGAAAAATGGCAGCTCCCTTGTGTAATCTGTGTGGTAACCAGGGAGACATACAGTTAGTTTTAGGTATTTACTTCTAGTACAATTGAAGTGAGTTGACTGTAAAATAAACTGAACTAAACTTAGTTATTTAGCTGCAAGCTCATCAAGCTCTGGTAGCCTAGTGGTAAGAAACTGCACTGCAATCACAAAGTGGCAAGGTTCGAATCTACCCGCTGCTGTGTGGGAGAAGGATGAACAATCCTCCTGTGGGATTAACTGCTTCTGAAAACCCACTGGAAGGTCAGCTGTGGGTTGGTTCTGACTCAACAGCAAAACAACGTATTAGCTAGTGAGCCTTAATTAAACAAATTAGACAACCTCTCCAATCCTCAGATCTATAATAATATCAAAAGCCACTTACTTACTTTGTACTGTGCTGGGAGGATGAAAGAGGGCTGTGTCTCCACTGTGGGTACCCAATAAATAGTTCCTGACATTCACCTACGGATTATTGTTGTTGTTGTTGTGATGTGCCGTTGAATTACCGGCAACTCATAGCGACCCTATGCACAATAGCTCTGAACCCTGTCCTATCCTGAGTCAATCTCACTGTCTCCAACACACCTAACACCATTTCCCCAGTTACTGTGTCAGTCCATCTCCCCTCCACGGTCTTCCCTTTACAGCATGACTGGGCCTTTCTGGCTACGTGCCTTCAAAATCCTAGCCTATAAGGAACAACTTTAACCCGGAAACTTTAACCCAGAAAAACGGTCTAATGCCTGGATAATCTGTTGCAACAATAATGAACCTATTTTTGGTCTTTACATTACAGTGTATAGTTCTCAGTGACCTTTTCTACTAAAGATGTTAGATCAAGGTGATTAGAAAAGGGAAAGAGATATGAAATAAGCATTGTAAAAGCAACCCCCCCAAATTTTATATTGGATGATTATAAAAGTGGTAAGCTCATTTAACTTTAGCTCCCTGAAGAAGGTAGTGATTTTCTCATGAGTATCAAAGTATTTTCATTTGAAAATAAACAGCACACACATGTCTTTCTCTTGCTTTATTTATCTTCAGCAGAGGAAACTGCTACATTTCATATTCACTGAACAAAATCACATTTTGAGCTCTAATTTACTGTTCATCTGAACATCATCAAGGGGCATTTGCCAGATGAACACTAACATTCTACAGATAACGTGCTATCAAAAAGTGAGATAATGGTTAGCTTCAGTAATTGACATTAGCTCACTTCTAAAAGCTCCTTTGAAAAAAATCACATTCTTTAGAGTAGGATTACTTAATTTTAAATTGAGAGCAAGCAGAAAAATGTGTTTTTCATATTGCAGTGCAGGACAAATGTCATCCGCCTCCCAACACTGATTAGAGGCTAGAAAACCCAACACAGAGGTGCAGACAAAGCGATGGGCAGTGGGCAGTGAGGTCTGTCCTGCCCCGCTATATGCCAGCTCATCCACTCCTGACAGTGCAAGTGGCCACTGACATTGCCTTTGCCCATGCACTCAACTGATCAGTAATCCATTACCTGGAAATAGCATGTGTTCTTTAGAACATGTGGAGGTGAAGTCCACACTCTGCATTTTGAAACCCCTTTCACAGACACTAACCCTTAAGTCTGTTGGAGAGGCATTCATAGAATGATCAGTTACACTCTAAAGGAAAACATAGTTTTTATCAATTCCACAAAGCACTCACAGGAAGAAAGAGTCCCCCCCACCCCCATGCACAAATGAGACGCCCACCTTTCTGCTGTCTAGCCTTCCTGTATTACTTGAGTCTTGTTCTCCACGGTTTGGTTATATCACAGGCATATAAGAACACAGGCTTTGTGAGTTCCACATCCATGAGTTTATTCAAAGTGTTGGAAACATTTAGCGTACTTTGGGGTTTGTTTTTAAAAGGCTCCCACCCCCAGCCAAAGTGATTACATTTTGGTCCCTATCTCAGCTGGTCATCTAAATGAACTCCTTGTAAAGGACCACGGGCGATTTACAGTGAATTCTAAACAAGAGTTAGGCTGCAGCCTGCTGACTTTATTCTCCTCCCCAGGGGCCAGCCCACATGCCCTGACAGGGGTGGGTAAAGGCTCTATCTCGGATTCCATCAGCCCTTACCGTGTACGTGATGGTCTCTTCGGTGTCCTGGGACTCGGCCAGCGCCAGAATCAGCACAGTCAGGGAAAGGCTTCTCAGCATTGTGATTCTCAAAGGAAACACAGGACAAAGCTACGCTTAGGATCTGCCTCGGGGAGATGTATCGAGGAATGGAGGAAGGGCGCGGGGATGACCGAGGCTCCCCGGAGCCAACTTCCCATCCGCGTCCTCTATCCCCTCCCCCTGCGCACCCTTGCCGGGTGCCAAACCAGGCAGGAGACTGTAAAACGCTGTACGATTGCATTGCATTTGACTCCATCCGGTTGTTGTTGCGCTCAACAGGTACAAAGGTTGTGGAGGAGTGCCTTTAACACTGCAGGCTCGGGATAGAGGGTAGGAGGCAGGGACTCGGAGGGAATCCAGAGAGTGAGGGATGCAGAACTCTCCTTTAAAGTTAAGGCTCTCTGCCCCTGTGCTTACATTCAGTTAAGTTCTTTGCACAGCTCGGCAGAACTACCTGCGAACCGAAATGCATTACCTTGGACTCAACCTCCTTGTGTTAAAACACCAGCACAAAATGTGCAAGGTAATCTCCCAGTTGTAGTGGAATACCTGACCTTCGGAGCTCACCCTCGCAAGCCCCCAATATAAATGCTCACAGGGGACATTCCCAAGCTGTCCAGAGCGCAGCTTTGTTGAAAAACTCCAGGTGGCTGGGAAGTGTAAGTCAAAGTTGCCGATTCTCTGGCGTCAAATCCACCCCTCATTCCTCAGCAAGTCACCCATTACTTAAGAGCTGCCTGGAGTGGGAACCCGGGTTTGGCAGTGCAGTTTTGGGGTACTAGTTTCAGGGTGGTGGGGGAGGTGAAGTCCCCCTTCTCAAATGGAAATGAACAAACTGGAGGTTACTCGGCGCTGCAGCTTCTAACCAGCTCCAGGTGTGTCTTAAATCTGTCACATTGGGTCCCTGAAATTCTCAAAACCACATTTGTGGTCAGGGCCGAACCAGCTAGGTTTGGGTACGCACCCTCAGAAGCCTTTCCTGGCTATTGTCACCTGGTGCACTTACATGCTGACAGGTTCTGTTCAGGTAAAGATTAGGCATCTTTACTGCGCTCTCTGCCAGTCCCGGTTCTCAGGGACAAGCGCTCCCAGACCTCTCCAGGTTACCCCACCTTACCCTCCAGCACTAAGCTCTGGGCTTGATCTGTGCGCCCCCTGCACTGGGGCTCCTACCTGCGCGCTGACGCTGCGCTCCGGGCCAGGCGAGGAGGGGAGTGCGCAGGGGAGAGCAGCCCCGTGGGTCTGAACTGGTGAGGTCTGGCGGCCGCTACAGAGGAAGGGGGAGGAGGAGAAAGTGAGGGAAGGGGGGCCAAGGGGGCGGAGGAGGGAACGGAGGGAGGCGCAAGGCTTGAGCCAAGCGCAGCCAGCCCTGCAGGAGAGCGCACGGCGCAGCTGGATCCGCACCCCCTTCTCTGGAGGCTGAGAAGCTGGCCCACTCCTGCCTGCCTTCGCACCCCTATTTCTCAGACACACTGGGACTCCTGCAGGGCTCTGCTTCCCGGGAAAGAGGAGCTGAAAATGCCATAGATGGCATGTGATATCCTAGGTTTGAAATAGATGTCCCCGACTCGGAGTGCATAATTATTTGTGCCCCTCTGAAGGGGAAACGACTCTTCCAAAAACTTCTGAAGATCTTGAGGTTCTGCGGAATTGCTTTATTTTTTTTTTCATTAGTAAGTGAATACTAGGGGAGCCGACGAACCATGTTTCATAGAACCAATCGTTTTTTCTTTTCTTGGGGTCAGGAGAGTCTCCCTGCTCAAATGGAGAAGAATGAGAATGTAGTCGTTTATTTATGTCCATCAGTAAATTGCCTGTGAACCCGTGACTTGTATAGTGTGTTATGAGTGGGTCAAGCAGATGTCACGTGGACAAAAATGTGAGGATGGTCTTTGGCCTGTCAAGCCTTCCTTTTAAAAAGATATTCTATTTGAACCAAAGTTAACAAATCACATTGGGGTTGGTTCAACCATTCATAGCTGATTTGGTTTTATAGTATTAATTGCAATGTCTAACCAAGCCCTTACTGTGTATTATCAGCCTCTTTTACCATCTATTGCTTCTCTCTTCCCACTTCTGGGAGGTCCTAGGTACTAAGCATTCAGAGTCAAGCATTTCTCCTTCATTTCCCTTCTAAAGAGGAACTCTTTAGAGAGAGCTGGTGGCTTAATTCGTTGGGAAATTGCACTGCTCACCCAGAGGCCACCCCTCTCTGCCAGTTGGAATCCACCAGCAGATCTGAGAGGGGAACATGGACAATCTCTCCTGCAGTTTGCAGTCTCAGAAACCCAGTAGAATCAGCTTTGAGCTGGTTCTGACCCAAGGACAAAGAATTTTGAGTTGTTCTTACTAATAGTGGAATCTCAAGAATTTGAGAGAGAGAGGGAGAACAAAAATATTAGTCAAATCATGCCACACAGATTTAGTTATCTCTGAAGTTAGAGTAATAGTTTGTACCAAAGCAGCTGTATCTTCTAACCTGCAAAAAATCAAATACAAATTATTGAATGAGACAAACCACAAAGGGAGGAGGTTAAGGGTTGACACTGTGCGTTATGCATGAGCATAGAGTAAGAGGGACAGAGGAAACTGATGGCCTGGTCTGAGTGAACAGCCACTATAGCAGAGGGAGTATGTTCAGGTGGAAGCCTTTGTATTTATCTACCCAGATCTTTTGATACAAACCACAGAATACTTGATAAGGTCAGAGGTGCTCTGTGACTCTCCAAGAAACTTGCATGAATATGTGGGTTTTGCTAATTGTGTTGACCGTGCCTGTATTTGAAGTGCCATGGTGGACGGGTTTTAATGGCCCTTCCAGACTAAGGCAGACTGAGAAGCAGTGCTGACCATCTACATCTGAGGTAACAGGCCTCTGAAAAGTCTATGAATAACAGAAGAACATTGTTGGGTGGAGTGCCAGAAGATGAGCCAGTGTCTTGCATCGTCTGTGTGTGCCTCGAATCACTTTGCACCGGTGCTAGTAGTGGCCATTTTGAGCCAGACAATCACATGGGCTATTGTGCTGGGAATGAGACATCAAAGAGGAGGCATGTCTTATTCATCATGAAAGAAAGAGTATGTTAAGATACATCCGGAAGTTATTCATAGGATTGCTATCAGTTGTAATCAACTTGACAGCACCTAATAATAGCAACATTCTGAAGTTCAGCACTCTAAGTGATAGGTTACTCTCCCAGGGAGACCTGTTCACACAACTATTACCCAGATATATCCACCAATCGTAAAGCCGGCGATGAAGAAATTGAGGACTTCTATAGGCTTCTGTGTGGATTGCCAAGAAAACGAACAGGTTTGTCCTGGAGAGGGAGAAACCAAGCTGCTCCTTGAAGGCAAGGATTTTGAGGCTCCATCTTGCATGTTGCCAGAAGGACCCACTCATTGGAAAAAGAGATTATGCTTCGTAGCGTGGAGGGTTTAGATAACAGAGATGGCAAAGGAGGTTGAGTTTTCAAGCATGGAAATACAAAGGAAGAGGAACAGTTGTAAGCAGACACTGGT